CATAGACTAACTGCTTCATAGACTGCTTCATAAACTGTTTCATAGACTAACTGCTTCACAAACTAACTGCTTCATAAACTAACTGCTTCATAAACTAACTGCTTTATAAACTAACTGCTTCATAGACTAATTGCTTCATAGACTAACTGCTTCATAAACTAACTGCTTCATAGACTAGCTGCTTCATAAACTAACTGCTTTATAAACTAACTGCTTCATAAACTAACTGCTTTATAAACTAACTGCTTCATAGACTAACTGCTTCATAGAATAACTGCTTCATAAACTAACTGCTTCATAAACTAACTGCTTCATAGACTAACTGCTTTATAAACTAACTGCTTCATAAACTGCTTCACAAACTAACTGCTTCACAAACTAACTGCTTCATAAACTAACTGCTTCATAGACTAACTGCTTTATAAACTAACTGCTTCATAGACTAACTGCTTCACAAACTAACTGCTTCACAAACTAACTGCTTTATAAACTAACTGCTTCATAGACTAACTGCTTCATAAACTAACTGCTTCATAGACTAACTGCTTCATAAACTAACTGCTTTATAAACTAACTGCTTCATAGACTAACTGCTTCATAAACTAACTGCTTCATAAACTAACTGCTTCATAGACTAACTGCTTCATAAACTAACTGCTTCATAAACTAACTGCTTCATAGACTAACTACTTTGATTGCAATTTGCAAAAAAAAAGTGCTGTTTATTGTAATCTGCTAAGGAGCCTGAGCCCTGGGTAATATGACCTTTGTGGCTCGAAGAAATTAACTACAAACATTCATTCAGAATGTATAACTTGTAGGGCAGGAGGTATCAGGGCATGCACTGAAACTATGGTGATCAAAGTACTCCTAAAAATGCAATTCTCATCATTAAATTACTGAAAGTGATGGGAGTTGTATTCCACATACAGGCTACTCCTGTATTACAGAAACTCAGGAAATGGCAAGTGACTGCACCCCTCTGAATACGAATCCCATTGTTTGTAAGCTAGGGGCCCAGCCCAGAAAAACTATTTCCCCTTCTGGCCACAATCCATAACGGCTAACAATGTGACTGTCTGCTGTTGGATATTAAATCTGGGAGCTTTGTGTTCACGGAGTAATGATGACTGCAGGCTGCGGGGGTTTTACTCTAAGGCTCAATATTCATCTGATACATCCAATCCATCGAAGACCATTCCTAAACAAATGGACTAAGGTGCAAAAATTCACAGACTACAGGGAGATATGTCCTAAGGTGTGATCAGTAATCTTGGCACTGCCAACGTATGTCCTGTATTCACCCCCATCATAGTGTCACAATCTGGAATGAAAATGTATTTTATTGGGATTTTTACCATTTGATTTACATAACATCACAAAATGCAAAATATGTTTTACTATGAGGCACGACAGGTAATTGAAAAAAATAAACTAGAAACCAAGAATACTTGTCTGTATTCTCCCCGATTGATATGAAACCCTCTAAAACGTTCTGATTTAACAATTGTATTCACATAAAAAGCTGGCTGGTGTCTTCCTGTGTGCAGTAGCTTTGGGTAGACAGTGCTCCTTCGTGGGTTTAAAATATAAGAAAACCAAAGGATAGACATAGGGAGTATTACCGATGCACAGAGTGATCGGACTTAGGGCACGGAGATAGACAACAGTCAGAAGACAATCTGGGTCAAGGATTCCAGAAATACACTAATACGATAAGACTAGCCAGGTCAGGAATCATAGCAATCAGGGAGAACCAAGCAAGATTAAATTCAGAATAGTCAGATATACTTCCAACTAACAGTAGGGTGGAGCTAGCCGTGTCAGTATCACGATGCCTAGTGACCCAACACGCAGTGTGTATGATAATAGATTAGACCACGTGTACCTGTCCTTAGAATTGCTGGGTTATACGTTGTTAGATAAAAAATGGTCAGGGACAAGCCGAGTCAGGGAGGCCAAAAATCAGGGAAGCGAAAAAACGATAGCCGATTCACAGGAGAACATAACGGAGAATAGTCAGAGGAAAGCCAAGATCAAAATATCAAAACAGACACAGAAACATAAACGCACTCTTGGAAACTGTAAACAGAAACCACAACAGGGCAATAATTCATACCCTTAATGCCCTTTTTATATTCTATGCCTTTAATATGAAGCCACGTCCTCAAAACATTTGAATTCAAACATTTTGGCGGTCCGTGATGTCATCTACGTCATAAAAATGGGCGGAGCTACCATGGCCAGCGTTGGAACCGCTGGTGAGATGAGAGCAACCGTGGGAACATTTGTAAAAAGTTCTACACTCTGATAAAAAACCAGAACTGAACTTATCAAAACACTATGAGTGGAACTATATTAACACTACTCATCTCCAGTAGTACACCATCCCCACAATGAAACATGATGTATTACTGGGAAACAAACCTGGATTAAGGGAAGGAGAGATGGAGCCAAATGAGGGGTCATTAGAGGAAATGCTTCAGTCCTCCAGATTGAGAATCTCTGAAAATACTTGAAAACTACTTTTCATCAGCAATTCTTTAAAATCTGACAGAGCTGGAGCCACCTTGCTACAAGAAATGGCCAAAGATTGCAAGAGTCAGATATGCAAAGTTGGTAGTTACTTACCCCAAAAAGACTTCCAGCTGTAACTGCAGCCAAATGTGGTTCTATCAAATATTGATAAACAATTTTATCATTTTATTACCATTCGATCAACTTTTGTTTCTGAAAAACGTACCTGTCGGAATACGCACCAATAATAATAATAATAATAGTCTACCACTTGTGGAAGGCATTGTATTTGAGAAGATTATAGAGTACCTTGTGGAAATGTGTCCCAGTCTTCCAACTGTCTCACTTTAGGCAGGACAGCACCGATTTCACAGTCTTGTCCCATTTTGTTCCATGGTATCCCACATCTGGTGACACCAGGGAGCTGTTTGTAGTTATTACATTGTGAGAGCATTAGTGTAGCATAGGTGCTAAGACATTGCAGGTAGCGGTTTAGTAATGATCTCTGCCTGGTCTGCCCTGAATATTGTCTGGAAGCTGTTAGCGAGCCTGGTGTGCATTGCACCGGCAGAAATAGGGTAGAGCCTCCCTTTTTGGGCCTAACCACTCCATATCCTGATTGTATTCCTCCCAACGTTAGTGTCACGATTACTATATGACCCAACATGCAGAACTATGTAATACACAATGAACTGGGATAACGTATACCGGGCCTTAGAATGGCCAGACTTAACGTAAACAAATGCAGAAAGATAAGTCCTGCGCTCACTCCCATCACTGGGCGGCAGCAATTAACGTAAACAAAGAATGGTCAAAATACTGGCCGATGTCAGGGACACAGAAAGAGACACAACGAGGAAACAAGCCAAAAGTCAAGGATACCAGAAATACGGGAAAGTCAAAATACAAGCCAAAGTTAAATACCAAAAAGAACTAGGATAGGAGCGCTCTCTGTTACCCAACTAGTGGAAACCACGACAGGGCACTGGCCGAATGCTAATTTGAGTTTAAATAACCCTCCTAAGGCTATGATTGATGGTACATAGCCTTTGACCCCAAAACGTCGGCTCCACCTTTGTTGAGGAAGGAGGCGGGGCAATATTGTTTCGTGGGACCGCAGCGGCAGCGTTCATTAAAACGCCGCACCGGTAGGGGATCGCTCCATGAGGAAGCTGACTTGCCTTAGGTAATTTTTTTATTATTTTAACAGCGTGACCGCAGCGATCGAACGCTGTATGGAGGCGAGGGGGACATGACAGTTAGCAGGTTTGTGTGACACCTGGAGGGGCTTTAGCAAAGGATTAGCAATAGGGAGTCAGGATAATAGCCAAATATTACATATCCACAGTGATGAACTATTAACAGACTGGCAGGAAGAGATTCCCTATTAGGTTTCCAGTTAACCGAACACAGTAAAGTTTCCCCTTAGTTCGGTATTTTGGTTTGACTGAACACTGACCACCCCCCTGGCTCGCTAACTTCAAAAGAGACACTTAACATAAGTGTTCTCTCTGGGTGGTCGGCATTCGTATAACCAAAAACACGTGCTCTAGGAAGTGGCAGACAGCGGTACTTGGTTGTCGAGGGCATAGAACTCTATTTTGGATACTTGGCCTTGCGAGCCCCAGGAAAATCGTTGCCTGCTCTGTTCCCAGACAAGTCAGGAGAGTGCTTTTCAAGGAAAAGACACTCCCGACGTAGGAGAACATTCGCTCTCTACCAGCCAGGGGGAACTTTTGTTTGTTTTCGCATGGGAACTCCTGAAAGTTGACCTGCCGCTGCCTTCTATTCCTTGGAACTATTTTGGGCAGCAGCCATGTGTGCGATCGGTCAAAACTTTACCCTGGTGGCGATTTGGCTATACTACATGGATCTGAGGGCCATTTGGACCACTTGGGCGCTGAGATCTGTCCGGGGATATAATACTTGTGGGGCTTCCTATCGATAGTTTATGTATTTTGCGGGTGTTTTATAATATGTATTGTACCTCGAGTGCCTGAGAGATAATTAGTTTAAGCAAAAGGAAGCTCACTTATCTCCCAGACGCAGAGACGCCTGGACAGGCTTACCTTTGTTTTTGCTGGAGACCCCATGATGGGGTTCTGTGTATATAAACAGGCAACTTGGACATAATAAACCAGTTCGTTGTACCCTTCATCAAGTCTCGTCTGATGTTTTGGTTTGCAGGAATTATAATCACTGCTTCACTTCGGGACCTGGGAGAATGTACATCGGAGGTACCACTCTGGGTGCAGGCGATCCATTACATCCACATAAAAACAGGCTTCTTTAAAGCATTGTTTGTGAATCGCTAACTGCATTATTATTTCCTGCCCACAAAGACGACTACATGAAAAATACATTTTTAGACATAAAAACATGTTACTGACATGAAAAATGTATATATTGCTCCTAGAAAGCCCCAAATTATGGGCTGTAAGTGATTCTGTCTGGTTAGGAATACATGCACAGCCACACAGGAATGATAAAATGTTACATTTATTCATTTTTACACATCAATTAAAAAACGAACATTATTATAAATAAACTGACATACAGGAGAGCAGTAAAAAAAATCCAGTGTTCTTCTGTAGGATAAGGCAACGTTAAAGTAATATTATATATTTATTTACCAAACAATGACCTTGGATAATTTATATAAAATGGGAATTGTGGGGATTTTTAAAGTGATTTTCAAATTCACTCTGAAGTCGTCACATTTCATACTTTAGTGAATAACTAACCCTGTCACAGTTTAAGGGAGAATTACTATACAATGATATTTATCTCCAGTGAAAACATCTTTTTTAACCTGACAAACAATCCTTCGAGGAATCTGAGACGCTATCACAGCAGGAAAGCTGCACATTTTTTACATTTAGTCTATTTCCCCTGGTTCTCTGGCAGAAGTTATTCAATAAAGACTTCTAGGTGAATTTTAAGTGAATTTCAAATGTATTTTTTTTAGCAGTTTTTGGGCTACAATTTGACAATTCCAGCTCAATAAGTTAGTCCTGATTGTTAGTTTCTACAGAAGAGTTACACACAGACCTTCCCCTAATTGACGGGGACCAGTAAATATATTTAAATTAAATCATACATACCGAGGATTTAATTGAAAATTGTTTTGTCAGATTTAGTGTTCGACTTTGTCGAACACTAAATCTGACAAAACAATTTTCAATTAAATCCTTTTTTAAAAATCAAAGCTATACATAGGAATATGATACAGGTGATACTCGAAAAATTTGAATATCGTGCAAAAGTTCATTTATTTCAGTAATGCAACGTAAAAGGGGAAGCTAATATATGATATAGACGCATTACATGCAAAGCAAGATAGTTCAAGCCGTGATTTGTCATAAGTGCGATGATTATGGCTTACAGCTCATGAGAACCCCAAATCCACAATCTGAGTAAATTAGAATATTACATGCAATCAATAAAACAAGGAGTGTACATAGAACAATATCGGACCTCTGAAAGGTATAAGCATGCATATGGTCTCAGTACTTGGTTTGGGCCCCTTTTGCAGCAAATACTGCCTCAATGCGGTGTGGCATGGAAGCTATCAGCCGGTGGCACTGCTGAGGTGTTATGGAAGACCAGGATGCTTCAATAGCGGCCTTCAGCTCTTCTGCATTGTTCGGTCTCATGTCTCTCATCTTTCCCTTGGCAATGCCCCATAGATTCTCTATGGTGTTCAGGTCAGGCGAGTTTGCTGGCCAATCAAGCACAGTAATCCCACGGTCATTGAACCAGGCTTTGGTGCTTTTGGCAGTGTGGGCAGGTGCCAAGTCCTGCTGGAAAATGAAGTCAGCATCCCCATGAAGCTCGTCTGTGGAAGGAAGCATGAAGTGCTCCAAAATCTCCTGGTAGACGGCTGCGTTGACCCTGGACTTAATGAAGCACAGTGGACCAACACCAGCAGATGACATGGCTCCCCAAATCAACACAGACTGTGGAAACTTCACACTGGACTTCAAGCATCTTGCAGTGTGTGCCTCTCCATTCTTCCTCCAGACTCTGGGTCTTTGGTTTCCAAATGAGATGCAAAAGTTGCTCTCATCAGAAAAGAGGACTTTGGATCACTGAGCAACAGACCAGGTCTGTTTTTCTTTAGTCCGGGTAAGACGCTTCTGACGTTGTTTGTTGTTCAGGAGCGGCTTGACGAGGAATACGACATCTGAAGCCCATGTCCAGGATCCGTCTGTATGTGGTGGCTCTTGATGCACTGACTCCAGCCTCAGTCCACGCCTTGTGAAAGTCCCCAACACTTTTGAATGGCCTTTTCCTGATAATCCTCTCCAGGCTGCGGTCATCCCTGCTGCTTGTGCACCTTTTTTCTTCCACACTTTTCCCTTCCACATAACTTTCTATTAATGTGCTTTGATACAGCACTTTGGGAACATCCAACTTCCTTCGCAGTTACCTTTTGAGGCTTTCCCTCCTTATGGAGGGTGTCAGTGATGGTTTTCTGTACAACTGTCAGGTCACCAGTCTTCCCCATGATTGTGATTCCTACTGAACCAGACTGAGAGACCATTTAAAGGCTCAGAAACCCTTTGCAGGTGTTATGGCTTACTTAGCTGATTAGAGTGGGGAACTGTGAGCCTAGAATATTGCACCTTTTCATAATATTCTAATTTACTGAGATTGTGGATTTGGGGTTTTCATGAGCTGTAAGCCATAATCATCGCATTTATGACAAATCACGGCTTGAACTATCTTGCTTTGCATGTAATCTCATATCTCATATGTTAGTTTCCCCTTTTACGTTGCATTACTGAAATAAATGAACTTTTGCACGATATTCTAATTTTTCGAGTATCACCTGTATATTTATGTCATTTTGTGCATGAAATACAATATAGGTGATATCTATTAAACAGTGAATTGTAGAGAATTGAATTCCCAGCCCAGCCATCTTTGGTTCTAATTTAGCAAATTTAATTTAATAAGGCAAAATTGGGGACAAACAGGCAAATCGATTTCTCAGAGCTGGTGTACATTTATAAAACCGCTACTGTGTGAAAATAAACAGCAACAGTTCTGTCTGCTCATATCTATCAAAATTAATCTGCAGCACTAAATATACTGGCTGCAGGTAATTCATTCATGTCATAGTAAAAGATCACAAATATGAAATATACTTTAAATGTGCTATATTTCCTTTAAAAAAACAACAAAATAGTAAAAAGTTAAAAAAATATATAAAATGTAAAAAAAAAAAAGTTTAAAAAAAAACATTCGTAGATTTCTGAGTTTAGGTATCAGTGAGAGTAGCAACAAATTTAAACTCCAGTGGTCCTAGGTCAGTTCTTCTATACTTCTTTATGTGCGCACCCTTTCAGAAATTTTATTATGTATTTTATAAGGTATTTCATTTTTCTGAATATTGAAAATACACAATGAGAAAACAAATTAGAGTTTGAAATATTTCACAGCTGGTTTGAAACAGGCGCATCTAGTAAATTTTATGTATTACACCCACAATGCGTTTAAAGTACACCGACATCAATGGATCCTAACCATACTTAAATTGGGAGATCAACGTAACATCTAACCCTCCCCCACTAGTGGTTCAACACCCACCTACCCTCTTGGTTCCCAACAAACCTCTCTCATCATGCAGACAGGCTAGCAACATTGCCAGCGGATCTGCATCAGACCAGAGTGATATCCTCTATGATACTGTGAGGCTATATTATAAATAACAAAAACAACTACAGCACATGAACTGTAGTTGCTGTGATAGATAGCAGGAGAGCCACCTGTAGGCAGAGATTCTGTGCTGCGGAATTGACAAGTGAGGGGAGGGACCATATCCTTTTTGTTCATTTATTGAAAAACTTGTACCCTTTCTAACAATTCTGTTATCACAAGGTATAGAATCATAGTTCTTTCTCTCAATTTAAATAAAACAGGTGTGCTGCCCCATGACAGGTGCTCTTTAAAGGGACACTATAGTCACTAGAACAACTACAGCTTAATGTAGTTGTTCTGGTGAGTATAAAAGCTCCCTTCAGGCATTTTCATGCAAACAGTTTTTTTTTTAGAGAAAAGGCAGTGTTTACATTGCACCTAGGGACACCTCCAAGTGGCCACTCCTCAGATGGCCATAGGAGGTGCTTCTAGAATCAGTGCTGCACAGTAAGCAGCCCTGCCATTCAGCATCCCTACGCTCTGCATGGAGACGCTGAATTTTCCTCACAGAGATGCATTGATGCATCTCTATGAGGAGGTCCTGATTGACCAAAACAGCATTTGGCCCATCCTCGTGCCGTTTTTAGTCAATCCAATGCTTTCCCAGTGGGAAAGCTTTGGATTGGCTAAAAATCTGCCATTTTGATGATGTCACAAAGGAGGTGGACCCAGTGCGGCGCTGGAAATAAGGTGAGTTTTAAACTTTTATAGGGGGGCTGTGGGGAGGCAAGCCACCTAAATGGTGGGTTAAACACTATAGGATCGGGAATACATGTTTGTGTTCCTGACCCTATAGTGATCCTTTAATCTTCCTAAGGAAGCTCTGTTACAAGCTATTTACATTTCATGCACACATTTTTACCTATATTTTATTGGCGTCAACGTATTCTGTATGATGGGCACTATTTCCCATTTTTGGTTTTATTTTCCAAATGATGTGGAAATTCAGGAAATTATTTATAAATAACAGCTGTCTTTAACATTTCTATAAATGGTGCAATCAGCAGCGACATTCCCCCCGCCCGCCTTCCCGATACGTAGGTTTTGGCAGCAGATAGAGGCCAATATAACTCTCAGCTTGGGAAATCGGTGTCCCACTAAACCAAGCATTCTGAACAGATTGTGTCTGATATATCTGTTCTTGTAATGTACTTTTAGTTAAATATATGTCGTTCAAATACTGTACAGCCTTTACAATAACAATTTCACACAATCATACAGGGCTATTCACTAACGTGAGAATTCAAGGTGAATTTTAAACGGAAGGTTAAAAAATTAGTGAACTGGAAAAATTCTTTCTATTCGGCTAATCGGACCTTAAATTTGAAATTCACTTTGAATTCTCAGTTAAGTAAATAACCCTGTTAGTGTTTACTTAGCACCCCAAAAGTCACCTCATCCTGGTACTTCTATTTCAGACATTTCGATTGTGTGACGTTACCACGAGGGTCAGAGGGGAACATACTGGAACAGAGTGTGTGCTACATGACGGTACATAATATCACTCTGTAGAGCATTACATTGCGTGTGCTATATTGCCACAAAATATATAGTTTAATTTTTTTTTTTTCTTTATTTCGATCTTTAGCTTTATCACTTTGATGCAGAAACAAAACGTAAAACTGCAGCTACAGTATAACTAAGCACAGTGGGCTGGCAAACAATCATTTGGGGCACTCACAATACAAAACAGAAATTCTGAATTCAGAAATAACCATTTCTCATGTAAATAATTCTCTTTATCGAAATGTCTGTTTTTATATATTTTAATTAATAAACATTCTGACATCTTGTCATTTTTGTGCAACTTAATTTACTTCACTACTTTCCCCTGATTTTACATCCCTATATTTCTGTTAGTTTGGTTTGTAATCTGTGACTGAAGGTAGAGAGAACCCACTGGTAACAATTAAATAAAAATGGTATTGGTGCAGTGATAAAATATATTTGTACCAGAGGATCATGGGAAGAAGTCCATTTGCATTTACCATTTATCCAAGCACTGCCCACTAGGAGCACACCCAAACACAGACACTTCGAAGTGCATTCCAGCAATAAGGCACTGATAAGCTGACTTTCAGGGGACAATAAAAGGCTAAGCTCCCCGTCAGTAACAGTGTAGCAGTGTCAGTAGTTGTAAGTTACAAACAAAGCAACATGTATACAAAACTGTTTCAGTGAAAATACAAATATAAAAGTTTAAAGTTAGTGATAAAAGTTCGACCAGTGTAACATCTCATTAAAAGATACCTTTCACAATACCCTCCTAAGAATGTTTTTCAATTAATGTTGTACTAATTCCAAGACCACCTGTGAATGAATATTGGAGATATTTTACTACTTACTAAATGAAATACTGTATTATGAAATAAACAAACGCAGACATTGGGTCTGGAGATAGTAAGACAATTGGTAGCTGAGATCTTAGAATATACTTCAGTAAGTTGTTGTTAAATGATTGCAGTCCTGTCTCCTCATCCTTCTGCCTTGTCACCTGGTCCATAAGTTACAAATCTTTCTTTATCTGCTCAACTGCAAACTGAAATTATAATATAATTTTGTGATATAAAAATAATCTTACAACATTTTTTTTGCTTTAATGTTGTGATATAAGAGACCACAATTGTTTTTTTTAAATGTATCTCCCGTTAAAATTGATTAATTGTTTTTGAGAGGAATGCTATGAGTGAGGTATGTTGTTCTGCTAAGGGTCTGAATGGTCACTTTGTATCATTAGCCCTATAACTGTAGCTGTGCTTGACATGATACAAGCATGTTATAGGTAAATGTAATGTTTCACACTCGGAATTATCCAAGCTTAGATTACTGGTCTTCATGTCAGAAACGGAGTATAATAGTGAGATACATTTTGCCTTCCAGAGATAATTATAATGTAACAATACATGATTTACCACTTCCATTCAGAGGACATGAATCATGCTCGATATTGCCATTGGGTTGTGGGTGATTCTGCTACAGAAATGGAGTGGAGGAGTAAATCGTGTAATGGAGCCCTGTAATTGATACCTGACCCATGACCCCAGTTCCGTTCCAAACCAGAAAGGGCTGATGTAGGCTTATCCTTTATTTATTTTTTAAAAACCTCAGAGAATCTTTGTGTAATGCCTGTACTCCATTAAGATTCTGGAGATAGCAGGTTATTGTCATGTTGGCTTGTTCTGTACTCTTATGATCTGCTCGATTTAAATGATCATTAGGCCACTGGCTGAAGAACTTCTTCTCATGAAAGGTCCACACTTTCATATTCACAATGATCAGAGTCTTCCAGCTCTATTTCAGGCACCAAGCTATAATAGTCCGTAGCCTGGCTCAAGTAAAGTTTCTCTCGGTCTGTTGAGTCCTTCATTACATCTGTCACACTCACTGTTTCCACTTCTGGATCTTCTCCTGCCTTAGAAACTTCATCCTCTTCCTTCTCAACCGCCAGCATCAAACCAGGGCTCTCATGATTGACCTGACCATCTTTCTCTACCAGGTGATCTGCAGAGGTCCCAAGTTTGATTTCCACCTCTTCATAGAGATCCCGGCTGCTGCCCAATAGAGCTGCAGAAGGCTTCAACAAGATTGGATCATTCACCTGGTTTATTTCTACTGCCTTTCTGTCTTTTTGAAAATGTTGTCTTGGTTCATAGTGATGGTAATCACCCACATTTCCAGCACCATTACGGTCCACAGTCACTAGGCTGCTCTCTTGCCTTGTGTTGGCATAACCACCCTTTTGCCGACGGCAGCATAAATACCAACACATAATCCCTAACACTACCAGAATGGGAATGCAGATAAGGACCACAGTTAAACTATGGGACCTGCAGAGGCTGCTCCTCTTCAGATCTCTGAGCTTCGATCCATTATCATCTCTCGGCAAAGTACAAACCACTTCTTCCAGTAACTTCCTGCTGTCATTATTATGGAAGTGTGGCTCCAACTGGTCGTACAAGGCACAGGTACACTCTAAGCTGTTGTTGACAAAGCCAAGAGCAGAGAGGGAAGGCTTGAGTATACTCGGTGGTAGTGAAGTCAGTTTGTTATAACTAAGGTCTATCTCCTCTATCTGGTTGGAGACAAGCAGGAAGTTTTTGGGGAGGTGATGCAGTTTGTTAAAGTTGAGGTGAAGCACCTTTAGGTTAGGTGCATTGCTAAGGAAACCATCAGGAAGTTCTCTCAAATGATTGTGATCCATATAAAGATACTCAACATGTGTCGGAATTCTCCCTCCTTCCACGTCGGTGATCTCGAAAATCCCAGAGCTAGAGAGATGGAGCACCCGAAGGCTGGAGAGTCCAGTGAAGATGTTCCAATCCATGGTGTCGACAGAGAGATCGAGCTTCACACAGCAGTGGTCTGACCGCAAAGAGGACCAGTCGGCCGGATTGTCTAGGACAGTGCAGTTGTTACATGGATTGTCCTGGATCAACTCAGTCCTTGCACAAACAATTAGCAACCACAGAAACAATGTCTCTGGTAGAAGAAGGAGATCTGAAGAAAAAAAGAAAAGTATATTTAAAATTACATAAAACTATCAATTCAAAAAGATAAATGTATCAGTAATAGATTTATAATCTATGCGATAATCGACACACACCAGTGATCCTTAACATAGATTCTTACTGTAGATGTATATTCATACTAATTAGACATATGAGTGTCACGGTTACAAATTACGACAACAGGAAACAGAGGAACCAGATGTTCCATCCTCACATTAACCTTCAGGAAACAAGATTCTATAGATCCTGTGACCTTCCATCTTAATAAGATACATGCGCATAGTATTCAATATGGTTTCCCTCCGGATTTGTATTTTCGGTGAAGCAGTTTATGTGAGAATTTATTGATGGGAGTTTTTGGTAATTCCCTCATTTCATCACAACCTTAGCCGAGCCTTGCTTGATGTCAGAGAAACAGGACTGACCAAAAGCCAGTGACATGCCGACAAGTCCAGTGAGAGTAAAATATCTCTCCAAAGATGACATTCTTACATTAAATCCTACAAATGGCAACTGAAAAACAATGTGTTATAATATAAGGAGCATTGAGAAACCATCCTGTAAAAATGTAACTTTATCATCTAAAAACTGACAATGTCAGATTCTCTTATTTGTATAATTACAGAGAATTCTGGTAATTCTAAATTATGGAAACACAATATTTCAAACTGAAAATAATTAAAATATGGGTTTTTCCCTCTTGCACGTGTGGTTATCATTTAGTCTTATGGCAATTCTAATCCTGCCAGGGCCCAAATTTGAACAAATGAAAAGACATCCGAAAATAAATAAAGATTACACTAAACGGCAACTCAGGATCCACTGATATTATTTTAAAGGGATATGCCACTGCCCAAATCAATAAAAATAAATACATTTAAAAAAAATAAATCACTGTTTTGGTAGATATACCCCCAATTAAACCATAGATGCATTCTATCCCCTCCCAGACTTTCTGTGGCTGTCCAATCACAGACTTTCCAATACATAGTCCCAGGCGCATAGTCACTTGCACACAGTCAAACACACAGTTACAGTCTGTAAGTCGCACGCATACAGTCACACAGTTACAGGCAGCCACATACAGTCACAGGCAGACAGTCAGAGGCTGTGACACATATACACAGTTACAGGCAGATAGTCTCTCACACACACAGACACACACACACACACACAGCGCTACATACAGTCATGCACTCACACACACACACAGTTACAGGCAGACACACACAGTTACAGACAGTCACACACACACATACACAGTCACAAGCAAACAGTCACACACGTACAGTTACAGGCAGTCACACACACACAGTTACAGGCAACAGCCACACACACACAGTTACAGGCAAACAGTCACACACACACACAGTAACAGACAGACACACACACACAGGTCCCTTTTTCCATTATGCTCTGGAGGGGGAGGAGTGGAGTTTTGCAGTCCCTGTGTAGCAATTGTGGAAGCAGGAACTCCTTCCTGCTTCCGGTGTGCAGCATAATTGGGCAGTGTAGAGGCAATTAGCTCCACCTCCGCAGCCTATTTAGCCCGCCCTCGCTTCCAATCGAGTCCCCATGTTCAAACATCATTGTCTGGGCGTAATGGCATATTTTTGTGATCAATTAAAGGTATTTTGTTAGTCCAGGGATTGGCAACCTTCAGCACTCCAGATGTTTTGGACTATAGCTCCCATGATGCTTTGCCAGCATTATGGCTGTAACAGCATTGTGGGAGATGTAGTCCATAACATCTGGAGAGCTGAACGTTGCCTACCCCTGAATTAGTCTGTTTGTCATACATGTTACTGTGCGTCTCTGTATACAAAATGATGCCCCAACATGTGGGAATCGTGTAATATAAACTGCAGGGTTATTTAGTATCCAAATAAAATATCAATACCCTGCTCAAAGCCTGGCTGAGCTGTGACTCCTATAACCCTGAGCCAGCCACTAATGGCTAGTACAGTCCGTACGCACATGGACATAAAAATGGTTTCACTATGGCTTCACACGATTACAGAAAGCCACAGAAATGCAAATATTTCCGCAAATAGTAATATTCATGGATTTCCAGCAGAAAATGAACTACTAGTCTTATTTACTAAAGAGTTAGCTATAGCCAGCTCGTGGATGGACATTTTAACCCGATTTGAATACTGCAGCTGACAAACGCTAGATGTAGTTGTTGACTTAGAACTTACAGTTCATTGAATGAACCACTAGATTTTCCATTGACACATAGGTCTTGTTACAATGTGACACATGATTTATTGTTAATCTCTCGATCACCTTACAATTGGCATGTAATGGTGTTCACATCAATCAGAAATACAATAAAAGCCATCTACAGAACGGAGACAAAAAAACTCCCCACACAGATTGGCTGATGGCAGCCGGCGGGAGCCTCCCTTTAGGTTTAAAAACCGGACCTGTGTAGACTGAGGGCATGCTGCTCTAAAGAGAAGCAGATGGATCTTTATGGCCCTGAGGATGTCCGAGCTGAATCGGACAAAACGCGTAGGGCTCTAAACCCAGCAGAGTTTTCTATTCTGATTTTTAATTTTGTTGATGTTTTTTTATTTGTTTATATATTCTGGCGGAGTAAGATGATTTCCCCTGGTAACAGAAGGACTCATTGCTTTGATGTCTTGTTGATTTGCCTCGAGTTTTTTTTGTGTTTTGTAATTGGTGCGTTTGGAATTTAATATATGATTTTATCAAGGAACTCTGCACCATGTCTTGCTCTCTTTTCTTTGCATGATCAACCATTGCTCTGAAGATATAAGTACCGGCTGCGGATTTTACTGATGATGGTGGTTTGTGAGTGCATTTCACTATATATTTTTAGTTTGTACAATAATATTAATATGAGGATTTTCCTTTTTTTTTTTAATCTCCATCCTTTCTGTAGATTGTTTTTATTGTATGTCTTGTTGAGGACATGGAAGAGTCCTAATGTTTCTACAGATTGAGAATGTATAGGGGTAATATTTTTATCTACTTGACCCCTCACTGTGTTGCTTCTCACATATTACTTGTATCTCCGTGTTTATATATTATTTTTTGTGCTTGTGCACGCCAATACCAGTACCCAGGCTCAAGACGTTCCCCCGTAACCCCCATTTGCAGCATGATTTAGCAACGCACTTCTGTCTAATCCTTTAGTAAGTTTCTGCGTGTCCGATACAATGCTGTATTTGATGATCCCTCTGTATGGCTGTCATGGGGTGACCAGGATCACAGGGAGAAAGGACAACAGCCAGAAGAAATTAAACTTGCAGGTAATTTTAAAACAGACCCAGGAGGGTTGAAACATGGCCACTGATTTTTCTGAAAATCCTGCAGTAGGAGGCGTCCAAAGGTAGATTCGCAGATGTTGCAGAAATACCACCTCCCGTACCTGGCACAGCACAATGGAGGTTGGTGTTCTACTACAGCGGGAGTTTCCCATTAACCGCCTCGTCCTACACAGCGTATAGGGCAAACAGTCTTCAGAAATACTGTACCACGACAATGAATGGCCTTTGATCCACTGAAACATTTCAAAGACATCTCAATAAACATTACTAATGAGGGAAATGTAACAGGCAGAGATACTCTCTTGAAATGTGAACTTTTCGGCTGGATCCCAAACTACACTCAGTCTGTTCCATGTGTACCCTTCAACATCCACGCAGACAGGAGCCATCTACTCACCAGACATGACTGGAAGGAACACGGATCCAGAATCTCGGATCCAGAATAGGTCCTTCTCACTAGTATCCGATAGTCCTGGATTCACACCTCCACAAGATCCTGGTGGATTTCATTCTGATATTCAGCACTGTGCGAAAAAAACAAATAAAATGCAAAGTTACAAATAACTTGCCGTTATACGTTAGCTGTGCATCCATTTAAACAAACTTTAATTTTAGCAGAAACATTTTAAAAAGTCAGTTTCTAAGGCGAGAACTGGGCAGGTGTTAATTATGTATCTGGCACCGCAGCTTCTGAAGTGAGGGAAATGTGTTTCCGAAGCACTGATAAAATATTATTCCCCTGAACGGGTGGAGAGCTGTGAAGCTCTGGAAAATGTTAATAATTAACCAACCTCGTGAGAAGACCAGGAAATCGTCGAAACTGAACCTTATTACACTGTCAGTTATTCAACAATACGTTACAAAGTGGCGGGAAGTCAATCCATTGATTCGCCCTAAAGGGTGTCCTATATACAATGAAAGGGTTTAATCACAATATAGGACCCTAAAACAGAGTTTAGGGGTACGTGTGCTGCAATCGAAGGATAAAATCACTAGATCAGATTTAACACCATTTATTGACAAAAGTCTTAGTTGGAATCAATATTAAGTCAACTGCTGTAACCCCTTCACTGCTAAGTTCTTTACATTAAAAAAAAAAATCAATCGCATTTATTTGTTTATTATTACATACATTTTCTGCAGCGCTGCACAGCGGGTTAGAGATGACGAGGGACCTGCTCAAAGGAGCTTACAATCTAAATCGATACATGGTACTTTGTATATCAATGGTTTTTAATGGATACCTAATAACTAAATTATGCGCATTTACACAATTGACATTTTTCATAATGCGTTTATCCTTTACAATAATACTGGGGGAAGAAAAGACGGTCACTGGAAGTCCCTTATTTAGGAGCTTCACCCCACAAGTGGTTTTTTTCCCCCTGAAGATCTGATATTTTAACTAATACAGGATTCGACGGGAGCAAATCCCTCTATAAATGTAAATATAAGCTTTAAAAATCTACTTTCATTTCAATGGTCATATCCCACCTCTTCCTGGAAGACTTTTAACCATTTCAATTAAGTAAGAAAGTCTGGATCAGCTCACAGAAGGAGAGAGTGTAAAGTGTTTTAAAAGAATGTGGTTTGTGAGTTTTAATGTATTTAAAGTGGCATCTCAGTCTATGAGACAGTTAAACCGTGGGTGACAAAGGTATTTGCTATCTGTACCTTATCAGCAGATAGAGTGGAGGGTGGGGCTGGATCGGTATGTAAGTCACAGCGAGTCTAAGAGAATGGGAGCTCCTGACACGTTTAAGGCTAATTCTATGAAACAAAGTATGTTACATAGTTACATAGCTGAAAAGAGACTTGCGTCCATCAAGTTCAGCCTTTCTCACATTTTGTTTTTTGCGGTTGATCCAAAAGAAGGCAAAAAACCCCAAAAAAACAGTTTGAAGCACTTCCAATTTTGCAACAAGCTAGGAAAAAAATTCCTTCTTGACCCCAGAATGGCAGTCAGATTTATCCTTGGATCAAGCAGTTATTACCCTACATTGAAAGATTATATCCTTGAATATTCTGTTTTTGCAAGTATGCATCTAGTAGCTGTTTGAACATTTGTACGGACTCTGATAAAACCACTTCTTCAGGCAGAGAAATCCTTATTGTTCTTACAGTAAAAAAAACTGTATCAATCCACAAAGATTTTCAGACATGTGTGCCATTCAGTCTAATCATTACTTACAGGAACACTGGGAAAACAAACATGTATGCTGGCACTATATGGTTTACCATCTATTTATGTCCCTGGCCCCCCTAAGATCGCATGGAAGAGGTGATTTTACTCGCCTTTTCTACCCCAACGCAGTGATCTTGCTGTGGCTGGCACCGCCTCAATGGCTGAGATCATCAGTCTTGATGATCTCAGCCAATCCAATGCTTTCCCATAAGAAAGCATTGGGAGGCTGTTGTGCATGTGCTACAATACACTGCACCAATTAACATCTCCTCATAGAGATGCATTGATTCAGTACAGCACTGAGATAGAAAGCACCTCTACTGGCCATTTATTGACTGCCACTAGAGTGTTACTATGCAGAAATTAAAGCACTGCCATTTTTTCAGAAAAGGCAGTGTTTACATTGTAAAGCCTGCAGGGACAGGCTATAGACACCATAACAAGTACATTAAGCTGTGGTGGTGCTGGTAACTATAGTGTCCCTTTAATCACAATGTGGGGGTCCTATGAATACATTCTCTGAGATGCCATCATTTATTCTAACCTACTCTTACAGGGGGTTGTTACATCCATACTATAACCCTTCTCTGAATATCTCTCTGGGGTGGCAGGGATAGAGTTAGCGGGGAGAATAAAAGATCAGGACTCCATGATGCTACAGATTAGTCTTGTGCATTCTGTCACAAAGTTTGGATGATCGGGAATTCCTCCAAATTTTTCCAGGCGAATAGATTTATTTGGTCAACCACATTTTTCTGCTATGACAAGTCTAGTACAGGTTGTGTACAGTGAAAAAATTTTGTTCAGTCAAATCAGTTTGTCAAAAAAAAACCTTTTTCATTTCTGTATCCTGAAAATAATAAAAATGGTCAAATTGAAAAAAAAAAAACTTTTTCCCCGTGGTCTGAAATTTGTTCATAGGGCATTTTGATTCAGGTAAAGTTGGTCCATGCAATCGTTTCAGGAAAACAAAAGGGCGTGGAAATGGGTCAATCAGTGCATTGCAAATTCTGAATATAATGTCATTTTCCCACCATTATATAATGTACAAATATAGATTTTTTTTTGTACTACTCCCCCTTTTGGTCGCTTTACTTGATCTGTGAATATAAACAGCATTTAGTGGCGTTCACCTAACCATCAATCATCTATTTTTCCCATTAATCATCTTTTTTCTAGAAGATTTAGAGCTATTTAGAGGGATCTGTACTACTGGTGACACAGATTATCCATATCCCTGCTTCTCCATCATGTACAGATATAAATGTAGATAACATGGACCCCCAAAACTCTTTATAGCTACACCCCCAGTAACTCATAAGAACGCTCGGCACATTTCTTGAACATGTGCACCAAATGTTAGAATTGGAACATTTAATAAATTCAGAATCATGAAAGATACTTGTTTTATTAAAGATTATTTCAGCTTGATTAATTTTTACAACGAACAAGTAGATTAGTTAAAAAGAGAAATAAAAACACTACATCGTCATCATAAGGTTAAGCAGTTCCAGTGGCCATTTGTCATTATCTTTACATTCCGCCAGAGGAGCTCACCCAAAAAAAGACAGGCACCTAAAGGGAGGACAACCTTGCGTCTCTCTATGTGTGACTCTAATACATTTAATAACCCTGAACTGACTGATCAGGTACCACGGATACCCACACCATTGATACCTCCCAACCTGCCCAGTTTCAGTGGAGCAGTCCCAATTTTCAGGTTCTGTCCTGCTGTCTCAAATTTGTTCCCTGCTTTCCAGGACACAAGGGATTTGAAAATTGCTCCCTGCTAGTACTACTCTCAGTAGGCTGCCCTGCTTGATTGGCGAGCAGACTGGCGTGCATTCAAGTCAGGCTGACCACCAGTAATTCGGGCAATAGCTTCACTGGTCCATCTAACCAGTGCCCCCATAGATTAGATACTAAGATTATCATGAATAAGATAGAAACCAATGATTAGATAATACTGATATCATCATTCAGATAACACAGAAACGGAAACCAATGCTTAGGAAACATGACAAAATCCCAATTAATGCTGTATTAACCTTTCATGCCAGGTAACTGAATAAAACATAAAAAAAAAAAACAGTCAGGCACGCCTCTCTAAGCCATAACGAGTTACATTTTCAATGGGAGCCTTTAGATTACATAATATCCTGATGGATGAATTTATATTGGATTTGACTCATGTAAGATGGTAAAGTGATAGATATTAAGAATATCCTCAGATACATATCTCAGAACAGAATGCGCCTGTAATCACGGTTGATTATATTTCTTACTTGTTCTGTGCTGAATATATATGTGTATTTAAAGGGATCATATAGTGAAGGTAAAACAAACCTTTTTTCCTGGCATCGTAGTTCTCTACAGTGCCCCCCTCCCTTGGGACCCCCCTACCGCGGGGCTGAAGGGGTTAAAATGCCTTCAGCCACTTAGCTGAATCCAACGCTGATGTCCCTCTGCGCTGAGTCAGGCTCCGCTTATGCTCCTCCCCCACCAACGTCAGCCGACGGGGGAGACCTAATGCGTATGCGCAGCAACGGCCGCGCTCCCATTAGACCTCCCCATAGAAAATCATTATTCAATGCTTCCCTATGGGGAAAATCTGACGCTGGAGGTCTGTGAGGATGTCCAGCGTCAGATAACGGACCAAAAGTCTGTTTGAATTCCGGAAGCCCTTTAGTGGCTGTCTGTTAGACAGCCACAGAGGGCAGACTTAGAGCTGCAATGTAAACAGTTTAACATTGTCTGTAAGCTCATTTGAGCAGGGTCCTCTTCAACCTATTGTTCCTGTAAGTTTTCTTGTAATTGTCCTATTTATTGTTACATCCCCCCTCTCAAAATATTGTAAAGCGCTACGGAATCTGTTGGCGCTATATAAATGATGATAATAATAATAATAACAACATTGCAGTAGTAGGTGCAAAATGGACACAGCACCCAGACCACCTCAGTGAGCTGAAGTGGTCAGGGTGCTACAGTGTCCCTTTAAATATTACTTTGTATTTTTAATATTATACTGTGTATTTTAATATCACTTTGTATATATAATATACTGTGTATTTTAATGTTACTTTGTATTTTTAATATACTGTGTGTTTTTATATCACTTTGTATTTATTATATTATATCTTACCCTATTGTAATGATGCAATGTTTGTGGGCCCACGACATACTTGAAAACGAGAGAAATCTCAATGTATCCATCCTGGTAAAATATTTTATTAATAAATGAATATAGAATATCGTACGTACATCCCAAGCTGCTCAGACAGAGAGACGTTTATTATATTCATTCCTTCATTTTTCCTTTCTGTATTATCTTAGCGAGAGCTCGCTCAGCGTGCGCAGTTTGTATAGTTCACCATGAGACGAGGTTTCTATTCACAGGGAATAATAGCAGATTTACATTAAAGGTCTAAGGATGAATTTGGGACTTCCTGTGTTACTGAGGAAGGCGGCCATTTCCTTTTGGTTTATTCAGGAACATCGACATCCTCCGTAGAAAGAGCGTCCGGCTCATTTACCAGGTGGGTTGTACATACTTTAGACGAGCCGGGGGAGCCGCACCCTATTAAAATAAAATGAAGTAATACAATAAAGTGGCCAACTTGCTAAACTGTGAGCTGCCACGAGTTGACAAACTATTTGCTAATTTTATAATCCGAAAAGGTAAGTAACCCCCATATCATGGTAACTAACATCTGTTTTTACTATATTTTTATATTATAAAATATCTACTATGTCACCATGTGCAACAAATAATGTTAAACCAAATATTTAGTAGAGACACAAACAGGACTAAACCAAATGTAAAATACTTTATTTATTTATTTATTTATTTTAAATACAGTTTTCCCCCAAGATATGAGCCTTGATTTAACATTGTTGGATAAGCTTTTTATAATGATTTAATATGTAAACAATTACAATTATTATTTTTTTTTAAATGTTAAAATATCTAAAAAATATATCATATATAAAATGATGTCACAATATTTCAAAAATATTACAAAACTAAAAGATTTATCATATTAAAGGTTCATTACAGGCACCAAAACAACTTAATCTAAATTAAGTTGTTATGGTGTCAGGAAACCCCAGGGGCACTAATACCTCAAGGGGTTATACTGTTCTCGAACAGTTTAACTCCTAAATTGCTTCAAGCGGTGGTGTCCACTCCCCCCAGGTGGCATCTGGCTTCTGAATGCCATTTCAGGAAGAGTGAAGTGCCACTAGACAGGGGTGCCGCTGACTGGCTGAGAGCGGTCAGCCAATCAGTGACACGCCAATCACAAAACTGGCTAAGAAAAGAGACGGGAAGGACTTATCGGAAAAGACTGATTTCAGTAATTAGGTATATTTATTTTATGAATTTACAAATCTAGTTCTATTAACAGGCATGTTAAATTAGTTATTTCAATAAATAACAGGAAGTGGGAAGAAACTAATGTGTAGTCTTGTTTATTTCCTGGTAATTTCCTAAAACCGCCTGCCCTGGGTTGCCATTAGTAAAATAATGTAAATCTGTTTTAAGATCACACATTCCTATAGAGAACTTCAATCCCCAGAATTTACCAAGTGAACTAAGCAGTTTTGACAGTCCGTGTTACGTGGTGCCGGGTTCATATCAACTGAATCTTACAGTAAATACGTTTGTTCTGAGTTGATCAATAAAGGTTAAATGCCTAGTACAACCATTACTCGAAAAATAAATCAAACTAAGTTTCAGTTTGTGTTTCATTCAGCTGATCGATAAAATGTATAAATAATACAAAACGAAGACGGAATCATTGCGTAGTTTGGTCAAATTACTGAGAGCGCGGCCATTTAACACTATGAATGAATTATGGGCCATTTAAGGCTACGACCCTTTTTTCCAGGTTCCTAAATGACAATTCCTCATCGATTAATGACTTGATTTCCCCACATTATACATGATTCCTACATACTGATGGGCAGCACTTTCCAAGCTGTGACCTACACTGAACAAAATTATAAACGCAACACTTGTTTTTGCCCCCATTTTTCATGAGCTGAACTCAAAGATTTAAGACTTTTTCTATGTACACAAAAGGCCTATTTCTCCCAAATATTGTTCACAAATCTGTCTAAATCTGTGTTAGTGAGCACGTCTCCTTTACCGAGATAATCCATCCACCTCACAGGTGTAGCATATCAAGATGCTGATTAGACAGCATGATTATTGCACAGGTCAGTGTATGTACCAGTGAGTGTTTGTGTTTATTTGTCAGTGTGTAGGTAAGTGTGTGTCTATACAGGTCTGTGTGTGTGTGTGTGTGTGTGTGTATATATCAGTTATTGTTTGTATTTATTTGTCAGCAGGATATTGCTTTGCTGCAGAGGGATTTGGATAGATTGGGGGACTGGGCACTAAAATGGCAGATTCAATTTAACGTAGAGAAATGCAAAGTTATGCATTTCATGGTCAAGAATGCACAAGCAATTTACACCCTAAATGGTAGCAAATTGGGGATAACCACACACGAGAAGGATTTGGGAATTGTTATAGACAACAAATTAGGCAGCAATATGCAATGTAAATCAGCAGTTCCAAAGGCCAGTAAGGTTTTGTCATGTATAAATAGGGGCATAAATTCTCAGGATAAAAATATAATTTTGCCTCTTTATAATTCGCTGGTAAGACCACACCTTAAATATGCTGTGCAATTTTGGGCACCTGTTCTGAAGAAAGATATTATGGCACTAGAAAAAGTGCAGAGACGAGCTACAAAATTGATAAAAGGAATGGAGCATTTTAGTTATGAAGAAAGGTTAAAAAAATGTAAATCTCTTTAGTTTGGAAAAATGGCGTCATAGGGGATATGATAACATTATACAAATATATCTGGGGCCAGTACAAACCATTATCTTGAAGTCTATTCATAAACAGGGCTATACATAGGACACGAGGTCACACATTTAGGCTGAAAGAAAGGAGATTTAATCTAAGGCAAAGGAAAGGTTTATTTACAGTAAGAGTAATAAGGATATAGAATTCAATGCCCGAAGAGGTGGTTTTGTCAGAGTCCATACAGATGTTTAAACTGCAGTTGGATAAATACTTACAAAAACATAACATACAGGGATATAATTTCTAATTAGTGGGGTAATAGCTGCTTTATCCAAGGAGACATCTCACTGTTATTTTCAGGTCAAGCAGGAATTCTTTCCTAGTTTGTTGCCAAATTGGAAGCGCTTCAAACCAGGTTTGTTGCCTTCTTTTGGATCAACAGCAAAAACAAATGTGAGGAAGGCTGAACTTGATGGACGCAAGTCTCTTTTCAGCTATGTAACTAACTATGTAACTATGTCAGTATGTAGGTCAGTGTGTCTGTTATTGTTTGTGTTTATTTGTCAGTGTGTAGATCAGTGTTTGTCTACATAGGTCTGTGTGCGTATCAGTTATTGTTTGTGTTTGTCAGTGTGTATCTATAGGTCTGTATGTGTGTGTCTGTTTACATGTAAGCCTGAGTGGAGAAATAAAAATATGGAGCTTCCATAGCTGTGTCTACTGAGAGGATCTATGGAGTGTCTTGCAGTTTTACGGCATCCTTCATAGACATCAGTGTTGTACTCTTGTGCATGCACCCACCGCTGATAGGGCTCCTGCCAGATGAAGTGCCAGAGGTTGAAGAAAGAAAATTCTGCACCCCCCAAAAAACTCCCAAAGGTGACAGCCACTTTAATATAAGGTACATACATTAGTATACATGTATAAATGCCTAATGCACACATAATATACAAATTACACCTATATATATTCTAATGAGGGCCTTACACTCCACATAAATTGGAGGAAATAGGGCCGATCCTGACCACGGAAGCGAGCAGTGGCACTAGCTTGTAGCTCCATGCTTTCAGCGGCAAAACTATGACTATTTTGAGCCCTTACACTCCATACCTGGCGGGAGGGGTCCACCTGGACATAATGACCAACATGGAGCACAGATCCAAAAAACTGATGCCAGATAAGCCTACCCTGGGACTGACTATCAGAGACCTGTGGAAGCAAGCACATGGCGCCAGTGGGCCCAAGATCAGGCAGCTGTTCAGATTTCTCAGACGAGTTTTCAGGTGACGCTGAGGAAGATTTCTTACCCGCTGCAGCGCCGATGGCCAGACAGAGCAGGACAGGACCAGACTCCTCTCCGATAACCACTTCAATCCTAAAAGCACTACTGGTGGACATGCAAAAGAACATCTTGGCAGATGTATCCGAGGTGACCTGCAGGAGCACTTCCCAATCAAATACCCAGCATATTGTCCTAGTCCAACAGGCTGTGAATGATCTGAAGCAGCAGAACTTGATACACAAATGTTTCAGGGTCTTACCTGAGGTGTGAGTTTGGTAGGCAGAGATTTGTGCTCACCCTTGCAGATATACATAGTCCAAGGTAATAAGATTGGAAACCACCAGGACTGTGAATCTGTGCACAGGGGCTGTGCATGAAAGGTGCTCCAAGTCGCAGTACAGGCAAGGACAAAAGCAGGAGGATAGTCATGGATAAGCTGAGGTCAGGATAAACAAGGAGAAAAGCCAAGGTCAGGAGCCGGGGTCAATATGGAGAACAAGTATCAGGAGACAAAACAGGAACAACACACAATCACCAGAATCAAAGAACTGACAAAGTTCCTAGGGCAAGGCAGTGTTTAAATACCTGGTTGATTAGCTTTCTGCCTCAGGTGAAGCACAGGTATCAGCCACATATGGAGTCCAGCTCCCAGTGCTGCAGACAAAGCCAGGAATAACAAAGATAGAACCTATGCAAAGGAACAGAATCTGCTGTGGCTTAGAGGCATTATAACGGGTCCAGGACACGAACAACCCAGGTTCAAACCCTCTGTTGGGCACTTCTAGGGCGACCACGTCTGGCCGTCTGGATTTCACTGCTGACAGCCTTGCTACCATCTCTGCAGGTCAAAGCTACCACCCCAAACCTGCTAAGACTCAAAAGACTTAATAGTTACCTTCCACAATTGGAAAGATAAAGCTGCAGTCCTCACCGCCTTGAAGGGAAAATCACCTTTCCAATTTGAAAACATGGAAGTATCATTCTATGTCTACTTATTGAATGGCACTCTGGCCTGACGTAGGTTGACAGTCTTTTACCGCTGGCACCAATCCTGAGGTCTTATCCAAGAGTACTACTGCAGGATTTGGGAATACACTTACCCAGGCAAGGACTCACGCTAATACGCCCTCATCCCACACCTGGGATCTGGCAAGAATCACCCCATTTTTCCCACAAGGGGCAACACATGTTTCCTTTGCCGATTCATGCAGACTGCTCGGTCTAAGTGTCCTAATATCCCCTCACCGCCCCACTAGTCATAGCCATCATGGAACATCCCTCTCCCTTAAGCTACAAACACAAGGCCTAGCACTCTGGATTTGTTTTACTTTGAGTATAAATCTGTTTAATTTCAGTATTACTTTATTTTTATGATGCACTACTCTCGATGGAGAGGTTTGCCTTCCCATTGAGGGTCCTCCCATTTTATACCAGGTCCTGCTAGAGTAACCGACCCAGTGCTGTCCCTTTTACACCTAAGGTTTCATGTGGCTAATGCTGCTCCCATTGTTGTGCTCTCCTAACTTACCTGTCATTTTTTAATTCCTATACCAAATGGTCTTAACCTCTAGGAACAATTTCAGTACCACAGTCTTGACTGGCTAGTACGGTTAGTAAGGTTAGACCTATATTACTGTAAATTCTTATGACTATACCGTTCCACTTGTGCATAGATCACACTTGATGTTTAAGCTAAACATGCTCGTCTCTTTTTAATGTCAAATAGCGTGACTTGTTTATGCACTGTTTATTTACACTGTTTTGTTTTTGTTATTTGTGACCCTTCACTGATATATTCTGCTAGACCACGCTATATAAAACCAAAAAAAAGGCTGAGATTACTGAGAGTGTCTTCTGCGTAACCACTGCATTGTCACTCTGTTTACAATAGACATAACTACATTTTTCTTTTTTTGTATTGTACCCATCCTTGCCTCAACAAAATAAAGAATTAAATAAATACGTAAAAAAATGTAAGTAATAATAATCTAAATAACTGTTTTAACCTAAATTCTGATTTTTATTTACAAAAGAACAACCTCTGCTTGTCTTACAGTCCCCGGTGCCATATTTCAGCCCTATAATATATATCCAGTGTAAAGGAGTCAACTTAAAAAAATTCAAATAAACAAACTTTATTTTAAGAAAATGTGTGACAGAGCACAGGAAACGTTTCAACCCCACACTACAGCTAGGAAACGGGGCTAAAAAGCTGACTGTAAGCTGTTGAAGGTTTATTGTGAAGCCCTTTGCCTGCTCGCCTTCATATTGGAGAATTGATTTTCAATTTACTTTTTTTATATCTGTGCACTATATGTTGCAATGCATTACAGGGCGGTATTACATTTTTCTATCTGTGCACTATATGTTGCAATGCATTACAGGGCGGTATTACATTTTTCTATCTGTGCACTATATGTTGCAATGCATTACAGGGCGGTATAACATTTTTCTATCTGTGCACTATATGTTGCAATGCATTACAGGGCGGTATAACATTTTTCTATCTGTGCATTATATGTTGCAATGCATTACAGGGCGGTATTACATTTTTCTATCTGTGCACTATATGTTGCAATGCATTACAGGGCGGTATAAAATTTTTCTATCTGTGCACTATATGTTGCAATGCATTACAGGGCGGTATAACATTTTTCTATCTGTGCATTATATGTTGCAATGCATTACAGGGCGGTATAACATTTTTCTATCTGTGCACTATATGTTGCAATGCATTACAGGGCGGTATAAAATTTTTCTATCTGTGCACTATATGTTGCAATGCATTACAGGGCGGTATTACATTTTTCTATCTGTGCATTATATGTTGCAATGCATTACAGGGCGGTATAACATTTTTCTATCTGTGCACTATTTGTTGCAATGCATTACACGGCCGGTATAACATTTTTCTATCTGTGCACTATATGTTGCAATGCATTACAGGCGGTATTACATTTTTCTATCTGTGCACTATTTGTTGCAATGCATTACACGGCCGGTATAAAATTTTTCTATCTGTGCACTATATGTTGCAATGCATTACAGGGCGGTATAACATTTTTCTATCTGTGCACTATATGTTGCAATGCATTACAGGGCGGTATAAAATTTTTCTATCTGTGCACTATTTGTTGCAATGCATTACAGGGCGGTATAACATTTTTCTATCTGTGCACTATATGTTGCAATGCATTACAAGGCCGGTATAACATTTTTCTATCTGTGCACTATTTGTTACAATGCATTACAGGGCGGTATTACATTTTTCTATCTGTGCACTATTTGTTGCAATGCATTACAGGGCGGTATAACATTTTTCTATCTGTGCACTATATGTTGCAATGCATTACAGGGCGGTATAACATTTTTCTATCTGTGCACTATATGTTGCAATGCATTACAGGGCGGTATTACATTTTTCTATCTGTGCACTATATGTTGCAATGCATTACAGGGCGGTATAACATTTTTCTATCTGTGCACTATATGTTGCAATGCATTACAGGGCGGTATAACATTTTTTTATCTGTGCACTATTTGTTGCAATGCATTACAGGGCGGTATTACATTTTTCTATCTGTGCATTATATGTTGCAATGCATTACAGGGCGGTATAACATTTTTCTATCTGTGCACTATTTGTTGCAATGCATTACAAGGCCGGTATAACATTTTTCTATCTGTGCACTATTTGTTGCAATGCATTACAGGGCGGTATTACATTTTTCTATCTGTGCACTATTTGTTGCAATGCATTACACGGCCGGTATAAAATTTTTCTATCTGTGCACTATATGTTGCAATGCATTACAGGGCGGTATAACATTTTTCTATCTGTGCATTATATGTTGCAATGCATTACAGGGCGGTATAACATTTTTCTATCTGTGCATTATATGTTGCAATGCATTACAGGGCGGTATAACATTTTTCTATCTGTGCACTATTTGTTGCAATGCATTACAGGGCGGTATAACATTTTTATATCTGTGCATTATATGTTGCAATGAATTACACAGCCGGTATAACATTTTTCCATGGCTGTTTTTTTTTTCCCAGTCCGGTCCTGGGAGCTGATCAGCAGCATTTGCCCTGAGCTGCTCCTTCTCTCCTTTGTTTATTTAAATGGGGGAATTTGAATTTCAGCACCATGAGCCCCTGGGTTGTATTTGCCAGCCAGCTCCTGCCCCACACTGTCCTTCTTATTGTGTCTTACATCCTTTCTCCTCTAAATGTAAGCTCGTTCTGGCAGACTCCTCTCCAACCTGGCGCTGCTGTGAAAATTTGAAATAGTTTCAATAGTCTCATTTATTGTTAAAATCCCCCCTATATAATATTGTAAAGCACTGCAGAATAATCTGCGCTGTATAAATACCCGTAACAATAATAGTAAGGTTTCCAGTAAATGTGGCATTTCTAAGCTGCTGATGCAAGTAACAAGAAAATAAAGTAGGTGATATTTGGAGGGAATTTTTCTCAATCAAGAGTACCGTGGTCCAATAAAGTTTGGGAACCACTGCTATGGATTGCGGTGGCTCTGACTGCTAAAGAGTGCGTCGCCGTTGCTCAGGAGGTTACAATCAGCGACCACATGCAGCGAGACCAAGGCCCATTTATTGATACTGAGCATTGACTCATAGACTCCAGCTGGAGATCCACAGAATTACTGAAGAATCAGTGGAGAATACCTCAGGTCCAGAATAGTGTCAGTATTAAGAATTTACACCTTATAACTGCTCTCACAACTCTCAGCCACACTTTGATTGGGTCCAATGTAAGAGCATCCTATGACCCACTTACTGTAAGCTTCATTTTGGGGGATGGGAAGTTTTAACTGCCTTGAGATTTCATTTTTACACATATAGAGTTGCCATATCCACCATGTCTCCCGATTTTGTGGTGACAGTCCTTTTTCTAGGGTCCTATTCCACCGTCTCAATTTTGAGTACAGCACCACAGGGAGCTGTCCCCAACGAGCACAGTGAGAGTGCATCTCTGCATGATCTAATCAGAGGGGAAATATTAATTTAATAATTATCTACATCCAGATTTTCAGGTGGAGCCATCAATCTGTATTATTTTTAATATTATTTTTACTTGACAAACTCTTTAACAAAAATAATATTTTTGATGTCTGAAAATAATTATTAAAAGTAGAAATCACAAATATAAAGCATTTTGCTCTATCTTTCAATCGGGCGCCTCCATCTTATTTCTCTGCCAATCATTATTATAAGCTCTGTCCTCTGCCCGTCAGATCCGAGACAGGAGTGAAAGCAGAAACAGAGTGGGTTATGTTTAAAGAGCTATTCTGGGACAAAGTTTGAAAATGAAGCAATTATCAGCCACATTTCATTGTACTGATACCCCAGTACCCATTGTACTGATACTTCCCATCTTTATGCATTATCGAGGTAATGAATTAAAGGATCACTATAGTGCCAGGAAAACAAACTCGTTTTCCTAAAACTATATAATGCTTAGGGCCCCCCTCCCGCTGGGCTGAAGGGGTTAGAACCCCTTCAGCCACTTACCTTTATCGGCGCTGGTGACCTCCCCTCCCCTCCAACTTCAGCTCCCGAGTGGAGCCGAATGCGCATGCGCATTAAAAACACCCATAGGAAAGCAATTCTCAATGCTTTCCTATGGACTTTCTGGGTGCTCAATGCGATTTTTGCATTGAGCGGCGGGAGAAGCACCTCTAGCGGCTGTCAGGAAGACAGCCACTAGAGGCTGGATTAACCCTGCTATGTAAACAGTTTCTCTGAAACTGCTATGTTTGCATCTGCAGGGTTAAAACCTGGGGGACCTGGCACCCAGACCACTTCATTGAGCTGAAGTGGTCTGGGTGACTATAGTGGTCCTTTAAAGCGGAACAGTCACTTCTCTGGAAATTAGAACATGATCTGTTTTATGTTAATGATTTATCAAATCACCATCCCGTTCTATCAAGGCACAGCCAAGGCACACAGAGAGATGGTTTTCGGAATTGCAGAATACGGCACCATTTACAACGATGATAGAAAGGGATGATTTAGACGCACTGTTCTAGGATACATTATTTATAAAATATTTTACCAGGAAGGATACATTGAAATTTCTCTCGTTTTCAAGTATGCCCTGGGTCCACAAAACATCGCATTGTTACATTAGGGTACAATAAAATGCAAAAACAATATTAATACACAATAAATACAAAATTTAACATAGGTAGGAAATATATAATCAACCATGACAGGTGCATTCTGTTTTGAGGTATGTAGAGAGGGGTCTCTTAAAGGACTTTAGGCTTGGGGAAGATTTTAAATTGTACGGGAGGTCGTTCCACAATTGCGGTGCTCTGTAGTGTGTGGATTTTTATATTTTTATTTTATTACATTTTAGTCCCCACGAAAACATATTTCCTAGATACAGGGGATCAGTAAATGTGACGTGACAGTTCTCCTTTGAAAATCGCTAAAGTAAAAGCTGAAATAATATGTTTCAGAAAGAAAGCTGTATCTATTTTTTGGCATCAGATCCCTTGTGTCCAATGACCACGATATCATCGAGGAAGCGGGTTAGACCAATAACAACACGGCTATGTACAGAGCCACTTTCACACGAAATATTCAAACTAGTGAAAGCCAGTGGCTTCTTGTTCGGGATTCATTGATGCGGGTCTCAGTACATCACAAAGATGACACATTAAATAAACATTTTTATGGCTGTACAGTCATTCTAATTTCCAGGCACCTACTCACACATTGTCGGACTGGCCTTAAGGCAAACAATATACTATAAAGCTGCTTGAGGGATAAATGGTGCTTAGGTGTCATTACGTATCCATGAAGGCTGGACGGTTACTAAACAAAGGCAGATCTCTATAGAAACAAGATAAACAGAACTGATATGTTTGGGATGGTTTAAATAGAACAACTTCCTAAAAGCCAAATTCTACAAATGGAACCATCAGGGTAGCCTAAAAACATATACTGCGAGAATAATCTATGGCCTTGCCGTATTAAAAACGCCATTTATTGAAATATTACCCAAGACTTTAACTGTGCACATCTCATGTCCTGATTTGTTTTCACATTGCGGCTGAGTATTTTAGTTCATACAGCAGTCGTAGGCAATGGGAGCTTGAACCCCAATATTCAGTATTTTTATATTTGTTGTGCAAGTTAGGTTTCACATAAAAAGTTTCATAAATATTTTATAGAATGTTACATTTTCTAATATGCGACATTGTTGTTTTACATTTTTCCTATACTTTAATAATGTGCTATTCAATTTATTTATTTTTTAAATACTTGTTTTTGGACATTTCGAAATAAAACATATTGATAGTGGTTTTCCTGTGGAAAATCTGAATTAGTAAATAGTGCTATCTGAACTGGTGGATGTTAGAATTGTGTTATAACCTTTAAAGCCTGGACCGAGACTGTAAGCTCTTAAGACGAGGAATCCTTCTTGTATTTTGTTCCTACATGTTTGATATCATAATCTCTCCACTCTGAGTTATTCGTGTGCCCTATTCACAAAATACTAATACTAATAAGTTGGAGTGAAAGCATTTGACGTAATATTTGCACGTTGTCAACCTACCTACCATAAATCACTGTTTAGGGAATAGAACCCTGTAGTTGTCCCACCCTTTGTACACCTCTACACTGTATGTTGGTGCTGAGTAAATAATGTCAATATGGGTGGGAGCCAGAGAAAGTAATAAAATAATCTGACTCTCCACTTTACTCAGAGCTAACTATACAATATCAGAATATTAAGCATACCTTATAATAACCTGCATTAAAATGTCAGAATACAAGAAGTAATGAATCCTTATCAGAGATGCTCCCAGTAAGGTGAGAATGTAAGAAAATGACAGACTCTCAGGAATGTCACATCTAAAGGCTGGACCTGTATATCTTACCTCCCCCTTAAGAAGCCCCCACATTTATTGTGTGCAGGGTGCTTGTTGGGGGGGGGCGGGGGGGGGGAGCGTGTAGGTTACAGTAACAGTTGGTTTATGTGTGCAGAGTACTAGTTGGGGGATGTAGGTTACAGTAACAGTTGGTTTATGTGTGCAGGGTACTAGTTGGGGGATGTAGGTTACAGTAACAGTTGGTTTATGTGTGCAGGGTACTAGTTGGGGGGGTGTAGGTTACAGTAACAGTTGGTTTATGTGTGCAGGGTATTAGTTGGGGGATGTAGGTTACAGTAACAGTTGGTTTATGTGTGCAGGGTACTAGTTGGGGGGATGTAGGTTACAGTAACAGTTGGTTATGTGTGCAGGGTACTAGTTGGGGGGATGGAGGTTACAGTAACAGTTGGTTTATGTGTGCAGGGTACTAGTTTGGGGGTGTAGGTTACAGTAACAGTTGGTTTATGTGTGCAGAGTACTAGTTGGGGGATGTAGGTTACAGTAACAGTTGGTTTATGTGTGCAGGGTACTAGTTGGGGGATGTAGGTTACAGTAACAGTTGGTTTATGTGTGCAGGGTACTAGTTGGGGGGGTGTAGGTTACAGTAACAGTTGGTTTATGTGTGCAGGGTATTAGTTGGGGGATGTAGGTTACAGTAACAGTTGGTTTATGTGTGCAGGGTACTAGTTGGGGGGATGTAGGTTACAGTAACAGTTGGTTTATGTGTGCAGGGTACTAGTTGGGGGATGTTGGTAACAGTAACAGTTGGAGGTGTGTACAATAGTTACATTAAAGTTGGGGGAAGGGGATGGTGGTGCAGACGTTATAGTATATCTCCAGATATCACACACTTTGTATCCTGCCCTGCATTTTATTTACTATGTATCAGTCCTTACCCTCTCCAGTGTTCCTGTACACAGCCTGGGAAACTCAGGGAGACCTCTCCATCCTTCCTTATAGCACCTTATCTCTGCCAGGGAATGCAATGAATGCAGTTCAATCCAGGGAATGCAATGAATGCAGCTCAATCCAGGGAATGCAATAAATCCAGCTCAGTCCAGGGAATGCAATAAATGCAGCTTAATCCAGGGAATGCAATAAATGCAGCTTAATCCAGGGAATGCAATAAATGCAGCTCAGTCCAGGGAATGCAATAAATGCAGCTCAGTCCAGGGAATGCAATAAATGCAGCTTTAAGTAGAGAGTGCAACACTGTTCACAATTCATTCTATGATTCTATGCCTGTCCCTCCCTGCTCTGGCTGTATCCCCTGCTCTGACTGTCTCCCCTGCTCTTGCTGTCTCCCCCCTGCTCTGACTGTCTCTCCCCCCTGCCTGCTCTGACTGTCTCTCCCCTGTTCCTGTCTCTCCTCCCTCCACACTTCTCTCAGATTAACACTTTACTTTCTGGGTGATTCGTTCTGCTGCATCAAACTGAGCCAAACGTCTCCTCCATTTAAGGGGTTAAACATGTATTCCCAGTCTGTGTCTGTGAGGACCCGCCTTGCCAGCTGCCCCCTCCCTGCCCACAATGGGTGGCAGCTCTGTGCCTGGGGAGGGCAGGGTTAAGTGAAGGTGTGGTGACAGGTGACAGGTGACAGTAAAACAGGTTATGGCGTCTAAACTTGAAAGTTTCACAACTGTCAGATCGTTTTGTTTTGTTTTTCTTTGTGTACTGCAGCCCATGTCTGCTAAGCAGTGAGTGTTGCAGTTTGCATGTCACATTGCAATTAATGTGACACTCACTATTAACATGTGGGGAGCCTGGGGGGGGGGGGAACAGGCTGAGCACCCCAATAATCTTTACACGACCCTTCAGCCAACAATACAGTGCAAGCAGACACACCACACACTAAGACACTCTCACCATAGACACATCACACACACTCACACCACAGGCACTCACACCACAAACACATCACTCACGCTCACACCACAGACACATCACATACACTCACACCACAGACACATCACATACACTCACACCACAGACATATCACATACACTCACACCACAGACACATCACATACACTCACACCACAGGCACTCACACACACTCACACCACACACACCCACACCACAGGAACTCACACCACAGACACTTACACAACACATAACAGACACTCTCACAACACACAACAGACACATACTTGATTACACCACAGGCACTCACACTACAGACACTCACACTTACCACAGACACACTTAATCCACAGACACACAGCAGACAGAATAACACCACAGGCACTCACACCACAGACACATCACATACACTCACACCACAGACATATCACATACACTCACACCACAGACACATCACATACACTCACACCACAGGCACTCACACACACTCACACCACTGGCACTCTCACCACACACACCCACACCACAGGAACTCACACCACAGACACTTACACAACACATAACAGACACTCTCACAACACACAACAGACACATACTTGATTACACCACAGGCACTCACACTACAGACACTCACACTTACCACAGACACACTTAATCCACAGACACACAGCAGACAGAATAACACCACAGGCACTCACACTACAGACACTCACAACACAGACACTAACCAGACAGATCACACCACAAACACGCACACTACAGACATTCACAAGACACTCACATCACTGGCACTTATATTACAGATATCCACATCACAGACACACTACACAAGAGATGCTCATACACATAGCAAGTCAGTTGCACACATAGACGTTTGCACGCACACACAGTGAGACGATTGTGTGCACACAGACATATACAGAAACTCACAAATACACACATTCATTCAGATATCTGTGTGTGTTTAGCGTGTATATATATTTCTCATGGTGAGAAGGAGAGGGGCGCCATGTTACCCAGTAGATCTGTGCACAGCACAGCTTACAGCAACCAGAGATGTAAATATAAAAGCTGCTCTAACATGTCCCTCAGACGCCCATAAGAATGGCCATCAGGCTCCTACCCCACCCACCCTTCACAAATGGCGGCCTCCTCGCAGTATGCTGCAATCATTATTTGTTTAGTTTTACTCCAAACAACCTTTATATTAATTGTTTTTACATATTTATTGAGCAATAGGCGCAGCACACTATAACCATGGCATTTCTTTGACGTCCAAGAGAAACTCCTACAGATAAGATTTTATCAGTTTTATAATAAGAGGAAAGGATCCTTTAAAGGAACACTCTGATTTAAAAATGCTGTTTAGTTTTTAATGGGAGAGTTATTATTTTATGTTTAGACTGCATAAAAATAGTTTCAGCACTGAAAGGGTTAAAATCAATTACACCAATCGATATTCCAGCTCTGGGAGAGTCTCCTCACTGCGGCTTGAGAGGCATTGGGACACAAGACACATGCAATGCAACCATCGCAATCTGTTTCCTCGCTGCAGATTGAGAAGCATTGGGATGCATGCGCTGCAGCCATTGCACTCCGTCTCCTCGCTGCGGCTTGACAAGCATTGGGACACAGGACGCATGCGCTGCAACCATCGTAATCTGTCTCCTCAGTGCAGTTTGAGAAGCATTGGGAAACAGGACGCATGCGCTGCAACCATCGCAATAGTCTCCTCCGTGCACTTTAAGAAGCATTGGGACACAGGACGCATGCGCTGCAACCATCGCAATCCGTCTCCTCAGTGCACTTTAAAACGCTTTCTGACACAGGACGCATGCGCTGCAACCATCGCAATAGTCTCCTCAGTGCACTTTAAGAAGCATTGGGACACAGGACGCATGCGCTGCAACCATCTCAATACGTCTCCTCAGTGCAGTTTGGGAAGCATTGGGACACAGGCCGCATGCGCTGCAACCATCGCAATAGTCTCCTCAGTGCACTTTAAGAAGCATTGGGACACAGGACGCATGCGCTGCAACCATCTCAATACGTCTCCTCAGTGCAGTTTGGGAAGCATTGGGACACAGGCCGCATGCGCTGCAACCATCACAATCATCCAGCGATGCCTCTTTATGAAACATTCACTACTACCTGTCTCATTGATAGGAAGGAGGTGTCACTAACGGAATTTAAACGAGTGCACCTTTATCTTGAAATAATCATTTTTATAAAATAAGCCTTCAGAGACAGATAATTAAGCTGAAGCACTTCAATTTTACATAAAAAAAAAAAAAAACGCAGAATGCAAAAATTTCTAAACAGTAGGAAGCACCACTTGTGGCTGTCTGAGTGACTGATTACCTGAGTGAGTGAGTGAGTGACTGATTGTCTGAGTGACAGCCACTATCAGTGGCCTTAGGGACAAATCTAAAAATAGTATTTACATTTCTCAGACTGTGGAAAAATTTGCACCAAAATCTTTACTAAAACCACTCACTTTTACACTGTGCTGATTCTGATGCTTAAATTGTCCATTTAAAGCGTTCGTTTAAGAAACAGGTCTCATATTTCTAACCCTCAGATTTTCAAATCATTGTCACTGTTTAGTGAATAGGCCCCACATTGCTTTCTCTCTGTGTATGGCTGTTTTGGGTACGCCTTTCCCCTATCTGTGCTGCACACTCTGTACTCTCTCCATCATGGTGTGGTGTCCCCCTCCCTGCTCCTCACCCCGGGGTGTGTTGTAATATCAGCACTGGAGGAATGTTAACCTGCAGGTTCTGCAGCCAGACATCCAACCCGTCTAACCAGCAATTCTCCTGACTAGGAACCTGGGATAATGTCGTCTCAGGTTATAGTGAGGAAACAGGAAGAGGTTTATGGAGATTCATGTCATTCACAGTTAGGACAGTATAACCAGTAAAGAAGGGATGGGGGGACAGTATAACCAGTAAAGAAGGGATGGGGGGACAGTATAACCAGTAAAGAAGGGATGGGGGGACAGTATAACCAGTAAAGAAGGGATGGGGGGACAGAATAACCAGTAAAGAAGGTATGGGGACAGTATAACCAGTAAAGAAGGGATGGGGGGACAGAATAACCAGTAAAGATGGGATGGGGGACAGTCTAAGCAGTAAATAAGGGATGGGGGACAGCATAGCCAGTAAAGAAGGGATGGGGACAGTATAACCAGTAAAGAAGGGATGGGGACAGTATAACCAGTAAAGAAAGGATGGGGGGACAGAATAACCAGTAAAGATAGAATGGGGGACAGTATAACCAGTAAAGAAGGGATGGGAAAAAGTATAACCAGTAAAGAAGGGATGGGGGACAGAATAAAGTAAAGGATGGGGGACAGTATAACCAGTAAAGAAGGGATGGGGACAGTATAACCAGTAAAGATGGGATGGGGGGACAGAATAACCAGTAAAGATGGAATGGGGGACAGTATAACTAGTAAAGAAGGGATGGGGGGGCAGTATAACCAGTAAATAAGGGATGGGGGGACAGGATGACGAGTAAATAAGCTGTTATGATTTTAAATTGATTTCTAATAGCACCCTCACTCTATAGGCAGGATGCAGGACTATTACCTTTATTTAGTATTATTTTTCTCTATGAAAGAATTATCTGAAAAGGCAAACATTTGATGAATTCAGGGCAGATAGTGAGAGCAGTGACAATGACAATCTAGCCAGGCCTGACAGTTTCCAGTCTGGAGACCTTGTCGTGGTTTTTACCAGTTGTGTCCATGTACAGTTTACACAGCAAGATAGGTTTAATGTGCTCTGTACTTGCTGATGTCTCCCGGCACTTGTTCTCCTGGAAACCTCATTAGCACCTTTGTTAGCTCGCAGTGACTTTACATTATCCCCTGGAGTCTCTGGGCATCTCTACTGGAAGTCATGAGCGATGACATCTCCCTTGGGAATATCTCATAGCAACGTCCCAAAACACAGAGCTCCACGACGGAGATAGGGGTTAATCCCACCAGGTACCCGACGGATGGGCTGTGTGTTTGGTCTGTGAATGGCTACAGGACTGATAACATTTCAATGACAATATGCCTGTTGGCACTGACTCAAACTATAACAATATATAAAAGCGTTTTTTCATGGATGTACAAATCACATTATACCATTTATAAAAGTGACAATAATGAATAATCAGTTTGTTTGTAACTTGCAATATTACAATTCCATCTATCTCCCATTCTCTGCTCAATTCTCCACATTCCCCGATTAAATTTTTAAAAAAACAAAAAAAAAACAATACCAACGGAAGTAGCCTTGCAGACAAAGCCATATGCAGAGCCAGTGCAACAAACAGCAATATTAAAGGAACATTTTAGTGTTAGGAATACCAATACCCCCGCACTCCCCCCTCCACCTTTATAGATCACCTGTACCCACCAGTTACGTCTCAGTTACGTCTAGTAAGCTCTGTTTACCTGTTCAATTCTCACCTATTTTTAACCCTTCTCTCTTTTTAATCTAAGCTATTACACTATAATCCAAGCTCTTTATTCTCCTAATTATGTTCTAACTTCTATTTTTCACTGTTACCTTCATTCTCGTATTGCTAAAATCCCTCTATCTTTCTGCTTCCCTGTTTATCCTGACACCGTCTTAATTGGTCTTACAGGCCATCTCCCTGGGTACTGAACAGTAGGTGACTATGCTTCCCCTTTCCTGTTGCCCACTACTTGTCTGCTTCATCCCATCTCACCTGATCAGATCTCTCTCCCGTTTTCTTGTGCCATCGTTAATGCATATCTCCAACTGCTCACTTTATTCTGGTATTGTCCCTGCTCCACTTAGGTATGTTACTGTCCTACCTATCTTAAAAAGCCATCTCTAGGCCCATCTTCCCCATCTAACTATCGTCCCATATCTCTGCTCACTCTCTCCTCAAAGCTTCTGGAATTACTTGTCTTTACCCGCCATGCTTTCTCAATTCTAACTCTCTCCTTCACCCTCTTAATCTGGCTTTTGCCCCCTATAATCTACCGAGATCAGGGCCGGACTAGGAACAAAAAGCAGCCCCGGAATAAAATGTTATACCAGCCCAATAATGCGTTGTGCCAGCATGGTGGTCAGATATAGAGGTGGAAAAGATAAATTAAATTGAAAACTAAAAACTATAACTCAAACGTGAAAGAAAGTACTCATAGGGATTTGAAATAAACAAAAGAGTAAATTTATTTTAACCAGACGTGCATTTCTATATGATCAATGTTTTAGTCCAACTACCTTGGCATATTAAGGAAAGTTTTGTATAGGTACTGAAATGGTGAATGTATGCTGTTGCGTATGCATGGCAAATTGCTGAGCCAATCAGCAATCATTAGAAGAAGAGAATGTGAAGAAAAATGGGGGGAGGTTTAAGGCAGGATTAAGAAGCATCATGGACAGCATCATCACCCCCACCCCACCAACCAAGCAGCTCCCTTTCTCAACGGCCTCTCCCCAGCAGTCTCTCCACCAATCACCTTACTCCTGTATGTCCAGATATCAGAAGAGGACAGAAACTATAGTGTGTATAGTGTGTCAGGAGTTTATATAATAGCTCCTGTGTCTTGGCATCTTTGGAACGTTTAACGGTTTTTGCTATAATTCTATCCCATTCTGCCTCTGTGAATGGCAGTCCCAAGGCCTCCTCCAATTTTGTCAGGGAGTATATACTCTGAATCAATATGCCATAAAGTAGGGACATCATCTTGTCTGGTGGAGATTCTTAGCAACACACCGATTGTCCATGCTCTAGTAATTTCCTGCATGGATTATTGTAACCCTCTCCTAATTTTCTTCCCAATAGCCGTACTGCCCCGCTACAGTCTGTAATGAATGCTGCTGCCAGACTGATTTTCCTCTCTAGTCGGTCCTCTCACACCTCACCCCTCTGTCAGGCCTTACATTGGCTTCCTGTATTCTATAGGAGTCAATTCAAAGCACTAATCCATACCTATAAAGCACTGAACAATTCTAGTCCCTCTTATATCTCTTCACAGATCATAGGTATCCCCCATCTCGGTCTCCCCGCTCTGCGACCTTCTCCTGACCGCTGCTCGCACCCGTACGGCCAACTTTTAACTGCCTTAAAACTTATTTCTTTAGGAAAGCTTATGGCCTCCCAGAATAACCCCTACCTTACACACCTATCTCTTGCTCTCTCCAAAGGGCAGCACTCTACTCTCTCCTCCTGCTCTGCTTCACTCCCACCTTATTTGATTGCTATTTCCTGTCCTAATGTGTTTTATACCCCACCTCCTATAGACTGTAAGCTCGTTTGAGCAGGGTCCTCTATTGTTCCTGTAAGCTTTCTTGTAATTGTCTAATTTATAGTTAAATCCCCCCTCTCATAATATTGTAAAGTGCTACGGAATCTGTTGGCGCTATATAAATGGCAATAATAATAATAATATCCCACTTATTCTAGACTGTAAGCTCTTTCCAGCAGGGTCCTCATCAACCTATTGTTTCTGTAACATTCGAATTGTTAAATTTCCGCCTTTATAATATTATAAAGCTCTGTGGAATATATTGTTGCTATATAAATGATGATGATAATAATAATAGAAGCATGTTGTGTTTATTTGCCATGCAACGGTGAAAGTTCAATGAGTGCTTTATACAAAGATTATATTGCCTCCTAGTGGTAGATAATTAGAAAGCAGAAGATCAGTTTTATGCCAAATTAGCTTGGCATGTCTAAATTGCTATTCCCTTGATAAAGGAACACACCATTGTTTTCAGTTGTTTTGGGTTTGTTTCTTTTGTTTTTAACAATTTAGCAGATATACCTTTAAAAGAAATATACATGTGTTTTTTTCTACTAGTGCTCTTTGGAGGTATATAAAAAAAGAAACCAGTTTGCTGTTTGCAAGCTTCTCCCACTTACCCCAACAAAGACTGTTACGGCCCCCTCAGCATAAAAGGGTTAAACCGCCGTTTAGAAGATCTTCCCCTTTCCAGAGATGCAGGCACAGCTACTGCAGAGCACCAATCCGCCGAACAGGAAGCCATACGAATGCTGTAAACAGCCGAATAGGAAAAACCATACGAATAGGTTTACACTCCCAGCATACAATAAATCCCCCCAAGAACGAGACAAAGCTCTGTGTTGAGGATCAAGCAGTGAACAGACAGAGCTGTGGGTTTATTGTGCTTATGTACACATTCTT